GGGCTGGCATGTGGTGCTGGGGGATTGAACCAAGGTCCCTGTGCTTTGCTTGGCTTAGCTTGTTCTAAGTAGGTACTTTAGACCACTGAGCCATCTCACCAGCCCGATTAATTCTTGTAAGGTTTTAAACGGTCCTGATTCATGAAGAACTAAAATTTGTGCTGGATTATTAGGGACTTAAACATCAGAAATGGAAAAGATGCTGAAAACCCTCCATGGGCTCCCCTGTCCATCTGGCTTCTTTTAAGGCCAATTACAAAGGAGATAAAGAAAATGGCTCTATGTCCCTTGAGGCTGACGTCCAGATCTGTGACTGCGCAGTTTCCCTGAGATGCCACTGCCAGGACTGAGGCTTGTGGCTCCTTAAAACCATTGGGCTTTTTTTTGCCCAGATTTTAAACTAGACACTACCTTGAGTCTAACAAATCTGCGATGCCAGCAACGCGCACAGACAATGCCAAGGCCACGGCGCGCCGTAGTCAGGACCCCCCTATGTAGTATCAGGCAACCACTGTGGCCGGATGGTGCAAACAGACATGCAGGTGGCTGGGGAATCCCAGCTGGGTCTGCCTGAGACAGGAGCGCGGGTCCTCCCCAGCTCGGCTGTGCCCCTCCCCCAGTGCTGCTAGGAACCAACTGCTTGCAATTTAAAAGAAATTTTTCCTTTCTTATCTAATGGAGCAAAGTTAGAGGGCTTAAACTATTATCTGCTGTACCTTTGCTCTACCCTCCTTGTCCCATTTGGGACTTGATTTTTAAAACAGTACTCCACACTAAGTCCCTTATGGTGGTCTTAGAAAGTAGCACAAATATAAAACCCAAAAAACCAAACATTTTTATATCCATCTATATGTATCTACGGTTCTTGAAACTGTTTTTCCTTGGTTAATGCAATTAACTTCTCCCCCATTGGGCTTCTCTCAAGCTTCTTTCTTCATGCTCCTTTATCTCTCTGGCCCTCTCGAGCCCCTCCTGGCCCTAGTGGGCCTCCATCCCCGAGTATTACACCTAGTGTGCCAGCGACAGTGCACGCGTGTGCTAAACACTGCTGGCTCCAATCAAGCCACTTGCCTCCCTCATGTGCACCGTTTGGAACTGATTCCTCCACCCACACTCATTTCCTACCGGGCATCCTGTTTCAGGTGCCAAATGTAGGGATCTGTTCGTCTCAGTTGGATTGAATCTACAGGAAGAAAGGAGGCAGGAATGAGAAAGATACATAAAACAAAAGCTGGGCTAGGTGATCACCGTTCTGGCTGGTAGGCAAGACTCATGTGCCATCACAGCGGAACCTACACTTATTTATACTTTTGCAACGTTAGTAACACATGACACAAAGTTGCCTAGTGACTAGTAGCTGACATTAACCAGTCAGGATGCTTATCTCAGGACTGACATAGCTTGTGTGCTTTAGGCACTGAGGCCTAGTCCCACCTACACACCTCTGACTGATTTTCCAGCTTCAGAGGCTCCCAACAGCCATTTTCACGTCTGGTCAAAACATTTGCTTAGGACACCACCAATCTGAATAGAATTCCTAGTATCTACAGAACCCCAGAATCCAGGAACAATCTGATGGCTGACTGGAATGCAATGAAAAGGCTTGACATCTGTCTTCATATTGTGTCCATCTCCTTTGCAGTCCTAACCTTTGGTCAGATGCTGCTCAGCTCTATATGCAGACATGTGGATCAACTGAAAAATGGTCTGTTCCGAAGTACAATACAAAGTTACCTGACCTAGACCTGCCTAGTCTCTCTTCCCTGCTCCAAGGTTAAAGACACCTAGCAGACACCATGACTGGAAACAGCAGGACATAAAGGAAGGGAAATAGGTGGTACCAGAATTCCTGGCAGATGTATTCTCAAAAAATAAGCAAAACAGTATTCATCCCTTTTATTAGCCTACCTCTCTCCAACATTATTCCTATCCTACATCTGTAACTCCTAACCTCCTTGGAATTGAGAAGTTTGTTTGAGCAGAGCTTCTTCTCTATTCTTTGATCAAATTCTTTCTCTAAATAAAGCTCTTATGTCTACTGTCTCAGTCAGTGGCTTTATCAAGCAGCAGAAGAATATAACTTTTCTCAGTTATAGTAAGATCTATAATTCAGGAATATCTTTTTCTATCGAAATGTCATTTTCCTGGTAAAAAGTTATGGAAAGCAAATTTTCTTTCAGATATCGCAGAGATCTTTGTTGTTTCATATATTTTCCTTTAGCTTAGAACAATCCACAAGAGTTCTTCATAAAGATGGGTGGCAGCAGTATTTGCTGAGTAAGCATCTGGATTTCTTGCTGAAGACCTTCCGTTCTCTATAGGGAAAGAAAAACACACCTCCTGATAGGCTAGGGTTGTTTATAATGACAATAAATTAATGACTATGTGATAAAAATATTGACTTGACATTTAAATTTTGATTTTAAGAAAGAAAAATATTGAGGGCTGAGGATGTAACTCAGTGAGTTTTCCTAAGATGTGTGAGGCCTTGCATTTGATCCATGATTACTGATATAGGGAGAAAAACTGATCTCAGGTGAGTGATCTCCAAATGATACAAGGAACCTCCAAATGATATAGGGGAAAAATGATCTCCCGACCTGACCTGGACAAGTTTATGTTCTCTAAACCCGAAGAATATAAGGGATGGGGATATGGCTCAGTGGAATAAGCACTTGCCTGGCAAGCGAAAGGGCCTGAGTTCAACTCCCGGTTCTACCAAAAAAATAAACTGAAAAACGAATTTCAGGAACAAACGGAGGTTATGAACAGAATATATTTACTGGGAGAAAGAAAGCTCCTGTCTGAGAGAGGGACAGGATGGGGGCAAGAAGGTTGTCCCCAGGAAGCTGTCTTTTCCAGGGACTCTTATAGAGTAAAACCATGTAGCGAGGCGGGTCTAAGGTGGTGGACAACATGGGAACTCGCTTAGGTGGGCATGAGGTGGGACAAAACTATGGTCAACCAATGAGATTACAAGCACCATTGCTCAGGTAAAACTAAGTCCAGGACGAAATGGGGAAGCGAGTCATGTAGCAAGAGGGCATGAATGCAGAACAGGACTTTATCAGGTAGCCATACAACTGTAGTTGGATTAACGATTCTTCTGGCTCCCTCAGGGTGATGATTGATCTTGGATGCCGATCTTTAGGGAGGTCGGCATTTGTTTGATCT